GGAAAAGGAAATATCGCTAGCGATTTGTAGCCCGGTTGTTAGGGTACTACCCAGGCATTTGCCTAATATACTAAACTGGAGAAACTATATAAATCTACAGATCAGAGCAGCCAGACACCTCCACACAGCGGTTGAATTTAATCTAGCTATCCTGCTACTGTCGAAAACTCGCCTGCGCCGCGACTCGAACTATACCCTTCTGGCCAGAGTTGCTGCAGAGTCAGCGGCAATGCTGGCTCTGGGCACAACTCAGCCGGTCGAGGGTGGTAAGACACTCACCCCTCCGAAGAGATTTCGCCTTCTCGTCGCTTACTATCCCTCTCCCACTAAACAACTATTCCATAAGATCTCCCGTAAACCCCAGAGGTTTCCCTAGCCTCACTCCTCCTATCTATTTTAAATTCACATCTCTCCCACATACTTCCATCGCGCGATCGCCATTGCACATACTGCCCGACTCAAAGTTCAGCCCCGACTACATCACCGCCCGATACACTTCCCGCCCTCCCCAGCTCCCACTGCCACCCCACTGCCGCCCCCGCACCGCCTGCGCGGGCGCCTTCGGGGCCGCGTCGCCGCTGTATCCTCGCTAATTTGTACTGTTTGGGCTGCGCCGTCGCGATAGCCGCCGGGCTTAAGGCGGCTGCTGGCGTAAGCCACCCGCCAGCGGCGCGGCCTCGGCGAGGAGCAGCCCCGGGGCGTCTTGGGACCGTCTTAAAATTGAAAGTCCCACGCACGCGACGCACCCTCCTAGGAAGACGATGCCTGGCGAGGCGAGGGAAGCTTTGGGCCTCTGCACGTAGTCTTTATTCCACATGAGCGAATTCTTTGTTATCGATTCCGGTCAGAAACGTTGCTTACTACCTGCATTCAACTTAACGCGTGTACGAGTTAGGACATGGACTTAACGAGTTCAAGAAAATGTGCTCAGATTGCAATTCTCTTCATAATTTAATTGTAGTTTACGACTGATTTGCAAACAGCCAGATATTAATTCTTGGCTAAGAAAACGATTACGCTGATAATTACATGGTGCAATTGAGTTCAATAAAGCAAGTATTTTTAACAAATGCAACAAACAGAACAGTAATTTATTAAATCAGATGAAAGTTTTGATATTTTTTGCTTAATACATACTGTCTGCGATCTCAACCGAATGATACCCTAACATTAACACAAAGCCCCCACCCAACTCAGGGTATGTGACACATACCATCAAGCAGACTACATGTAAAAAGTGAGCAAATATGTACACCGCACCTCAACGAACTTGCGCTTCCTCTTCACTTCAAGTGCTTCGCAACTGATATACTATTCTATGATAATACTTTAAAAGGTGTTTTTAGATTAGTTCACTTTCTGAACTTTAAACTATAAAGCATTAGAATTTCTTGACACTGACATTTCTTTATCATCTTTTTGAATGAAATAAATAACATCCCCATTCATACATATATACCCATCGTATATGAAACACAATCTACCGTACGAAAATATGGGGTTTCTTCGCTATTTTCAGTACTTAACCCTGTGCTGCGGCACGTAAAATAAAATCGAAGGTTCACTCCCGTGCCATCAAAACCATATCCATACCGATCTTATTTGTGGAGGGTGGGGAATGTTTTCGTTCTTGTTTCCAAGCACAAACGCGAACCGCGACTGCCACCCAATGGCAGCCGGATCCGCTTCTGCTCGCGGGTACTAAGGACACCACCAGCCTCTTCCCGAAGAGACTCGTCTCCGTCCCGCCCCCTCCCTCCCCCGTCCCCCCTCCCCGTCGCTGCCCACCGTCGAGAAGAGACGTCCGTCCGACCATTACCCGGCAGAGCGGCGGCGGCGGCGGCGGCGGCGGCTGAACAGGCCCGGAGCGGAGGCGCCGGCGCGGGCGGTACCAGGGAATACCATTACCCATTAAGCGATTAAACAGCGTCATTAGAAAACTGCGCCCGCGCCCGCCTCCGCCGACGGTCGCCGCCCGCTTGCCGCCCGATCCGCAGTAATTGTGGTTAAAACTCGGCGGCGGCGGCGGCGGCGGCGGTAGAACGCGAAGAGGAAGATGCGAAGGAGAAGGGGGAGTCGGCGGCTGTGTCGTTCACGATGGGCTCGCTTCACAATCCGAAGCTGACGCACACATGAAAGCGATTTTCCCCGAGGACATTCCTCCCGGAAGCGGAGAACCCTTTTATGACGTTTGGTGAGAGAATGGAAACGAAGTGTATTGGACGATGGAGCAGAACATTGCCTCGGAGTATTTTATTAGGTTTTCAGCAATGACTGATCGATTTACATAATGGTAATAGTACCGTACAGGACAAGTAAGTCCTGAATTTTACGATCACAAATTCTAATAGATTAAAAGGATGATCGGTAGTACAACAAAGCCAAACTGGCAACATGACCAAGCAAAGACATTGCTCACAGAGGCCATCTCAGCATCGTTTCGAGAAAGAAATTTGAAAATTAAAACAGATTCAAATGTGTGTCTTCAGTTACATATTTTAAAGAAAAGGAGAACAAACATTCTGTAAAACTTCCGTTGGCGACTGGTGTAACATATCATGACGTTCATGGAATCGGAGCTGACGACGTTCAGGCAGTGTTAATTCAATGCCGTTGAGTAAGGAAGTGACTACCGTCTTTAGAAAGAAAGCATGTTTTGTTCCATAAAAATGTAATATTGTCAAATATCTACTACACTTTTCATCAACAACGTGCTTCCCACACATCTTTGATTAATTTCAATATATTAAAAAAATAGATAAAACAAAGTAAAATTAAATATGAATAAATACCAATCATATAAATAATTGATTATAGTAAGAAACCTATATAAAACTTGAAACTGATTACAATGCAGGGTGTTAACTCTCGCAAACAACCCTGCCGCTCTAGAACAGAGAACACGCATCAGTTTTTATGACGGCGCCGCTCCGCATCGCCCCGAAGGCGTGAACACCGGGGGCGGCGCGCGGCTCATGAGCGTGTGGGCGCTCCCGCGGGACGCGGCCGCCGCCGCCGCCGCCGCCCGCGGGGGAGGCCGGGCGTCCAGGAGAGCAAAAGCCCGGGTCGGGGCGGCAGCAACAGGGAGCAGCTTGTCGCCCTTATCTCGGGCTTGCGAGCTCGCTCCCAGGCGGCGGGGGCACGGGGCGGGGAGCGACGCCACGACAAATTAGCCACGCCGTTCTCCACCCCCGCGTACCCTCCCCTGCTATCGCGCCACGGGCGGGCCATCCTTCACCGCGTTTTTCGAGGCGACCGCGCGAGAGCGCTCACGCCGCCACCGCCGCCACCCGCGCCAACGCGGGAAAAACATGAAGAACGGCGCGCGAGACGGCTGGGCCGCGAGCAGCACTGCATCATAGGAACTGCGTCGCCGTGGGCGGCAGCCGCCGTTTGCGTGGCCGTTTCCGGATTAGCGCCCCGTGCGGGCCGGCGGGCGACGCATGGCCCGCGCAACGGAGACTAATAGCGACAATCCCGCGCTCTCCGCGGGGAGCGAAAAATGAAATTTACGGCCGCTGCGTGCGTTTGGGGGAGATTTCATAAAGTTCGACTTCTGCGGGGAGGGGAGGGGAGGGGCTGCACTTGCCGAGGTACTTCTGGCAGTTGAAGTGTCAGAAATGATTTTTTTGAGGCAATGAGCGTTTGTTAATCTCATGCGAGGAGTTGTCTTCTTGTTGTTTACTAATGTTGCGTTTTGGTTTCGCGTTGCGTGAATTATTGAATAAGAATAATTTGCCTAAGGAGGTAACATATTTCGGTCTCTTCCAATTCTACTAAAGCAGGTCAAATTTGTTGAGATCTCTCTTTCACTTTTTTCTAATCAATTGAGATATTCTTTATGAAATACTCATAGGAGATACTTGAACATCACTTACAGACTTTGATTCTCCCATTATTATTTTTGTCACAATGAAGGCATTCCGTTTCACAGTTGGGTATTCAACCATTCCCCTAAAACACGTATTTTAAATGATCAAAGCAGAAAACATTTTCTACGATTATATCGAAAAAATGCCTGTTCTTAGGTAGTAGCGTTCAAAATACACACTTGATTCTTTATTCTGTATTTATATTCTCCTAGAAGCGAATAATAATGCAATGATAGAAAGTACGTATTAATAAAATTGACTATATTTTATACACTGAATTTTATCTTTGTGTCATTAGATATTATAAATGACACAAAAAACAAACAAACTAATAACTATGTGTGAAGTTATGAATATTCGTTTAACGGGACTTTTAATGAGTTGAAACATTAATTATTGATCACTTCAGGGGACTGGTAGTGGTATGAAATACCGTCTCTAGGTGATGCAAGCAGCCGGGTGCAATGCCAGCAGCAGCGGCTGAAGTCGAGGCAGCGAGCGTCGGCGAGTAGCTTCCCGGCGTTGCACACTTTATGAGCGGGGGGCGTTCTTGGGGCGGAGCAGAGGCGGAGGCGCTGGTAGAGGCGGAGACGGAGGCGGAGGCAAAGGTGGAGGCTGCGGAGGAGGAGTACCAAGAAACGGAAGTTGGATAGGTCGCCACCTGCAGCGCTGTTCTGATTGCGGAATAGGTGAAATGCTTCGCGAGTGGCATCAGTGGACGTGAGGCTCAACTAACTCGATGTAAAGGCGCGTATGTTTGAATTACGAGATTTTCAATTGATTTGAAGAAAACGAATGGAAATTCTATGACCTTTAATTGTTTGAACTTGTACGTATTAATACAAAACATGCAAGTTAAAAACGTCGCATCTGACTGCAGCGGGGAAACATTACATAACATTTTATAATATTGTTACGGTGTCAAAAAGAACTAAGAAGTTTGGTCATTATAATTAAATATTTAACATTGCCCATATTCAGAACATTTAGAGAAATAATAGTGACAGCAATAAAGTGAAATAAAATAGGGTTGCGTGAAAAAAATCAATTTTAATATATTCAGGGAATTACGTTAGATTCTTTGCTCCCTAAACAGATGTCATTCAATGAGTAAACTTTCATTGTCTTTTAATGAGTAAACTCGTAAATCCAATACACACAACTTTTCAGGAGAGAGAATAAATTAAATTTAAAAAAATTAAGAACAATTATTTGCTGGAAACACCAAAATGTTTTATTTTAGTAGTGGCAATTATGTAATTTTTAATTATTTGCCAAATTAAGAGGTAATCAGAATCATTTTAATGGAATTAATGTTTTGACACGTTGCTCTTAATAAATAGCATTGAAGAGAGTCATTATATTTGTTATTAATTCAAAAAATACTTATCATAAAAGACATATCATGTTAATTAGAAGATTAATTGTATCGTTGTGTGAGTTAACGGAAATTGAACTATAAACGAGCGATGATAAACAGAGCATTTGGTTTTTTCTATTTTTTGTAACGGTTGCATAAAAATAATGTAAGTTTTGTATATTGCTGTTTTGAATATTTGAGAAATTTTCTGCAAAAATCTATTCACCAATTGAATTGGAGAAAACAAAAACATACGATGAGCACGAGCTTCAAATTTGGAAGAGTAAGCAAAAAGGTTATAAGTTCTGGACATCGATCATTTTTTTCTTTACATTGAAAGTTGAAGGACACTCTACAGAAGTCACAGAGTTTACAGACAATGAAACTTTATGCATAAAAAGTTAAATTCATATTTTAAGAAATGTTTCCCACTAGCAAAATGTGACATCGAACGTTTATGTTTGTACCGATTCAGTTGATTTTAACACTATATCAGCTTCCTTGTATCTTCTAAAACAAATCTTCTTTATTATTTCTAGACCGTTCTAATATTTTTTGGAACTCTAAGAGTATTATCAGAGTGAAGTTAGAAGATTTGATAATTAAAGTGACAATAAAATTAATTATTACTATTCTCAATTCTTCTGAACGTGTTACACTGCATTTAAAATTGCGAAGGAGAAATATTAAAAGTTCAATTCATCAGAGGTGTGTGAAATTACTGTTTATTTGAGCGTAGTATATTTACAGACATCTGAAATATACTTTTATAAAAATTTTCATAGGCAGATATATTTTTCAACTTTACAAATTTCTAAAAAAGATGAACATTGAAACGATTTTTGAGTTGCTTCATTGTTTCGAATTACATGTCCATCAATAATAGTCTGAACATCTAAGTTCACTGTCAGTTCAGAACATCTAAGTTGAGTTCCTTGTATTTGAAGGCAATTAATTTGTCTTTTCACTACTGGCATTAATTTTTGGGTCCTGTCTCTGTTTATAGAACGATACAAAGAACATATTACGTAGAGCTTCATTTCACAATAATTTCGCTTCGCAAATACGGCTGCTTCTTATGTTGTACATTTGATCTCGTAAAAGGCCATGCTCGCAAAGTTTTCTTTTAACTCAAAGACCCGCCCAGCCCCACGCCAGAAGTAGGGGGCTGCTGCCTGTCCGGGTGGACGGTTGCGAAGTGTGCAGTGAGGGGCTCACCTCGCTTCGTCGCCTGAAGTGGCTGCGCCGCTCTGCTGCTGCTGCTGCTGGCCGCGTCCTGCTCTTGTCACGGGCCGCGCCTTCTCGTCCACCTGCGCAACACCACACACTTCGTATATTCATTGGGTCCACTAACACTGGTAGGCTACTGAACTATTTGTTTCGAGCACTTCGGCTGGTAGGTACACACGTATTTTCAGGTACCGGGTAATACTTGAATGGGTGAAAACCAGAACGGTATAAGTGACATTATATAAATTCTGAGAAGAACGTGTTTATTTTAGGCTGCATTATTTAAGTTGCAATGTAATTTCGTGGTTTTAATGAACAATTAAAATGCTGTGATTTTAATGATAAAACAAAGCACCAAGACTTAATATGGAATTAAATAAACAGTTTCCCCAGAATTTATAAAGTGGCACTTATACCCTTCTGGTTTTCACCCATTCATAATTAATCATATATTCTTGCATTTAAGTACGAATGGAAAAGTAACAATATTCTCACATGTGATGGATATCAAAAGATATGACATTGAAGATAACATTTCAAAACAAACTGTGATAAATGAGCATGTAACGAATGAGATGAATAATTAATAAATATTTTGCTAAAATCAAGAAAGAAATATGGTATTAGATACTTCTTCGGTTTTCGTTTCAAAATATTGTATCTTAGCAACCTCAGAATTTACTTCAATGTGTAAGATTAGAGCAGTAGTTTATAATGACATCGTCCAAATAATTAATTAGTTCTCTTAATAAAATGGAAATTCTTGAATTTCAAAAACGTATTGGTCGTAAGCTGGTTCTTGAAACAACACTCTTGCTGAAGAAATATCATAGTATTATTGTAAATACAAATGCGGAGAAGTTCTCAGTTTTTGGCATTATAAAACTAATAATTTATAAAATTTCATGAATGGGGAAATTAAATAATTAAAATTCAGTCTAAATTAAGGCATTGTGGCACACTTTTCTGAAATTTGGTTCTGAATATTATCTCTCATCCTTCTCAATTTTTCGTTGACTCAAGCGAAACTTCGTCTACATCGCATCTAAAGTCTATACCACAAAGTAATTTTTATTATGAGCGTATAAATAACTTCCTTCTAAATTAACAAAATTTTATAAGCTTTTATTTATTTCTTTATGATGTGGAGTAAAGAGTCTCTTGTTTTCTAGTGAAAAACCATAAATGCACGACGGCCATCGTAAGTTCAAAGTACTCCAGTGAGCAAATGCCAGTACGTGCATTTCTTTCAATGCACCGAACTTCATCAGAAAAGGCGATAATGCCGAGGCTGTTAACAGAAGACTGCGTAAACAAACGACAGGCGAGCCGCCGCGCTTGCGAGCCGGTCAGCAGCGGAGTGACGGTGGTGGGGGCGGGAGGAGGAAAGAGCTGTAACCGCCGTCGCCCGGAAAACAAACCCCGATGATGCCCTATAAACCGGCCCGGGATTTATGCAGAGGTCGTAAAATTTATGTGGCTTTAACGTTATGAGCGAGGACAGCTCTATCTCCGCGGCGTTGCAGCGAAGGGAGGGGGGGGGGAGGCGGGGCTGAGATGAGCTCGCGTCGACGCTCACCCTTCTCTCGCACGCCCCGACGTGCTCCCGAGCCCACACGCCGCGCCGCAGGTCTTCACACTAGGGCAAGCACGCTTCTCTCTTTCGTTACCTTGGCTGGGCCTCGCCCGTAGCCTTGTAGTACTCGAATCTAATATCTTCCAAACGGATTTTCTTTGAATTTGTTGGTCTACAAGGAAAAAGGGAGATATATCTTACAAAAATTTGAATAAGCCTACATTCTCTATTCAACTTGGCAGTTTATTGTTTTATTTGTATACTTCAACGTCTATAGCTCTTCTCTGGTTCCGTGATGTTACTTCGTATTTCCTTTCTTTTAATGCCTTTCTATCAGTCCCATCTTCTTGATTATAATTAGCGTACCTAATTTTGTTTCTCTTTCCTTTTGCTGTCTCTCATTTTCTAATTACCCTTGAGCAAAGTTTCTGTTTCTAATGCACCTGCTCTCCGTACCTGCCCTACACAACTAGCAGACTATATTCCTCTTCACTCTTCGCCTAAAGGCTTAACGTCCTCTCTTCATCTCCCGGCTTTAGAGCATCAGTTACATGCGCGCCCAGCCCCCCCCCCTCCTTTCCGTCGCTTCTCGGCGCCGCGCCACTTTGCGGTTCCGCCGCCGCCGCCGCCGCCGCCGCAGTGCATCAATGAGCCCGGCTGACCCGTTTTGCTCGCGTGGTTACGTTCGCGGGGATTCCCCGAGGGCGCAGGAATCCTGCACAGCTTTTATTAGCGGAAGTGACGGTCTCTGGAGCGGAATTTGGATTGGCATATTACGACCCGGCCAGATCCTTTCTCAACGCAAGTTTTTACGAGCTTAGTTCTTATTATCAATAATCCTTTCCTGTACTGGAATTACTTCGTAGTAACGATGGATAATACTGTACGTCTCGCGTTTCTCTGATGTTACGATCTCTGAATGAGCTGCTTGGTAGTGTATTTATAATTGTTATTTATTAAAGGTAAATATGAATATTACGGGAATCTTTAATGTTTGGTGGATTTTTCTTGGTTTTGGTTTTATTATCGTTTAGTACTTTAAATTAGTTATTTGTGTTTTGAATTAGTTTAGGAAACACTTTGCAGGTAATCCCACGCAACTAGCATAAGCAAACGGGTAATCCAAGATACTCTTTTTAATTTCTAAACCATACACAAATTCATTCCCTAATAAAGTGGGGATATAATAGAAGAGATGCTAAATTAGTGTGCTTGGCAGACTATTTACTAATCGTTTTCTGCAAAAATGAAACTGTTACTAAATTCTACTAACCTTGTTTATATAACAATTATTCAATAAAATAAGAGTTAACACAAGTGTCACTATATTTGGTTTTTTCATAATGAAAAATCTGGACAGGAAATGTAAATAGAAAGTGGTAAAACTTATTTGACTTTATTTTCAGTTTTTGATAGTGCATAGGTAAACGGCTCAAGGAAACAGAACACCAGACTTTAGAAGAAGACATTGAATTCGTCTGAGAGAGCCAGAAAGCACGGCAACAGCTACCCCGTCGCACAGAGCGCTTATAAGAAAGCAGTGGACCATGCAGGCGGCCACCCACCGGTGGATTCGGGCGCGGCAGACAGACGCTGCTCTCGCCGTGACAGTTATTGCGAGGAAACCCGCATGAGCAAAAAAAAGAGGGGTCGGTTATTCCAGCAACAAAATCGAAAGAAGATAATGTTGTTAGCCTCATCCCCGCCCTCCTTCCGTGCCAGACGTGCTCTGCCCGCTCGACGGGGACGGGGACGGCGGCGGCGACAGAGGGCGGGGAGCATCGCGAACCGCGCGCCCCACGGCAGTCAATTGTTAAGACGCCATCCGTCACCGCTCGGCGGCGCTGCAGTCGCCTCGCGACGCCCCATTAAATTTTATTGTATTTCTCCCGGTGCTAAATCTCTTCATCCAATCAAATCGGGTGGATGTTCCCTGCCGCCGCCCCGCCGGCGAAAACAGGAAGTCGTGCGCGGCGGTGGGATCGGCAGAGTGGGGCAAGGGGGCGGCAATGGCGTGTGTGAGAGGGGAAGGAGGAAATGGAGAGGTGTAGTCGAGGAGGATATAGCAGCGAAGGGAAGACCCTGCATAGTGCTGTAAAGAACCTGCGAGGTAAGTTCTGATGGGGTAAAGGAACAATTAGCAAAGTAACGAAGTTGAGGGATGAAGTGGAAACGGTGGAGGTAGCACAGTTGGGTGAAGCAGAAGAGCAGAACCTGCAGAATGGGAAGGAGATATGGACAGAGTCAGGAAAGTGGTATTTTAGACGACAGGCATTAGAGAAGAAACAAAGGTACTGAATTAAATATAATGTAGGGTAGGAGAAAAGTAGCACAGTGAGTTGCAGATCTAGTTCCTAGAGGAAAGACAGGAAGGGGAGACAGTGACTTTTCAATTTTAAGTTTTTAGTAGGCAAGAAAAAGAAGATTTTGTGGGAGTGGAAAATGACTTCAGATAAAAGTAACGAACAAATAGTGAAAATAAGATGGTGTTTATAGTGAAACGTAGACGGCGTAAAGTAAACAGTATTTACGAACGACAAATGAGAGAGGTGGAGGAGGGAATAATTGGAAAGTATCCCGTGAAGATATAAGGCGATGACATATGAGGCGATGGGGAAGATAGTTGTGGAAATTGATTAATTATTTCGTGTTTCCGAGCGCATCAACTGCTAGTGTCATTAGTCTCGTAGGTGTGGCGCATGTTTTTTTCATGGAAGATAACGGTGATATCCAGCTGGATGGTGAATTCCGGGGCCGACCTATATTTCAGCTTGTGCGTTTTCCCCAACTTGATATCTACCCCCAGCGGGGTACCACCCAAGCTAGGACAAACTAAGCGCACGATCAGTTGGGGGAAGTGACAGCGTAGGCGGTGTCAATCCAAACATGTGTGATAGTGTAGAATATGTAAGTCCACGTGTGTAAGTTAGAGGTGAATATAGGACAAGAAAGAACGCGAGAAAGAAAGAACGCGCGCGGTCTATGGTCCGTTTGTTAGGGTACTGCTCCGGCATTCGCCTAGCGAGTTCGGGAAAGTGACGGAGGGTATTTGGAGGGAGACATACGAGAAGAGACAACCTGAAAGAAATAATAAGAAGATGGAGTCTGAAATAAAAAAAGGACGCGGAATTTTCGCAACAGGCATACTAATAGCGGAGATGGAGGCGGCGGCGTATGAGAAGTCAAGAGCAGTTGGGGGAAGTGACAGCGTAGGCGGCGTCAATCAGAGGGCGGCGCAGGCGGAGATCGCGTGCGGTGACGAGATCAGCGGTGGAGCGGCGTCTTCCAGCAAGGCGCGTGGGATGCGAGAGGGCGCGGCGGCGGGGCGCGCTGCCGTGTAAGCCGATCCCCCGTCGGGCGCAGATGGCCGCCTTTGATCGCGGCGGCGGAAGCGGCGAGACGAAGCTACGGGGATCGTCCGCGGCGCGCCGCCGTCGCCGGCGCCTTCCGGAGCGGCGCGGTGCGGTGCGGTGCGGCGCGGCGCAGTGACGCGCACCGGGAGGG